ACGGGGACACGACCCCGACACGGCCACCCCGGGGGGGCAAAGGGAGGGGGCCCGGCCGCGGGGTTGCTGCTGCCCCCCCTGGAAATGGAGGGGTTCGGTGGAAAACCAGTGGAAAACTGTGTAAAGCCGTGCAAAATCGTGTAAAAATTGTGCAAAGCCCTGCAAAATTGTGTAAAAATTGTTAAACCTGTGTAAAACCAGTGCAAAGCCGTGCAAAATCGCGTAAAAATTGTGTAAAGCCGTGCAAAACCAGTGCAAAGCCGTGCAAAATTGCGTAAAAATTGTGTAAAGCCGTGCAAAACCAGTGCAAAGCCATGCAAGTATTGTGTAAAGCCGTGCAAAACCAGTGCAAAGCCATGCAAAATCATGTAAAAATTGTGCAAAGCCGTGCAAAATTGTGTAAAGATTGCATAAACCTGTGCAAAACCAGTGCAAAGCCGTGCAAAATCGTGTAAAAATTGCATAAAGGCGTACAAAACCAGTGCAAAGCCATGCAAAATCATGTAAAAATTGTGCAAAGCCGTGCAAAATTGTGTAAAGATTGCATAAACCTGTGCAAAACCAGTGCAAAGCCGTGCAAAATCGTGTAAAAATTGCATAAAGGCGTGCAAAACCAGTGCAAAGCCGTGCAAAATCATGTAAAGATTGCATAAACCTGTGCAAAACCAGTGCAAAGCTGTGCAAAATTGTGTAAAAATTGCGTAAACCTGTGCAAAACCAGTGCAAAGCCATGCAAAACTGTGTAAAAATTGCTTAAACCTGTGCAAACCCAGTGCAAACGTGTGCAAAATCGTGTGAAAATTGCGTAAAGCCGTGCAAAACCAGTGCAAAGCCATGCAAAATCGTGTAAAAGTTGTTAAACCTGTGCAAAACCAGTGCAAAGCCGTGGAAAACCAGTGCAAAGCCATGGAAAATCCTGTAAAAATCATGTAAACCCATGGAAAACCAGCGGAAACCCATGGAGAACCAGCGCAAACCCAGTGCAAAACTGTGTAAAACTAGTGAAAATCTGTGTAAACCCGTGCAATCCAGTGCAAAGCCATGTAAAACCATGGAGAACCAGTGCAAAGCCATGGAGAACCAGTGCAAAATCGTGTAAAACTATATAACCAGTGCAAAACCGTGCAAAAACACTGCAAAGACGGTGTAAAATCGGTGCAAAACTGTGTAAAACCTGTGTAAAGCTGTGCAAAGCTGTGTAAAACCACTGCAAAGCTGGTCTGAAATGGTGTAAAACTAGTGTCAAACCGCACAAAACCAGCACAAAACTGTGTAAACCCATGCAAAACCACTGCAAAACCGTGTAAAAGTGTGCAAAACCAGCGCAAAACCGTGTAAACCCGTGCAAAACCAGCGCAAAACCGTGTAAAACTGCGTAAAACTGTGTAAAACAGCACAAACCCGTGCAAAACCATGCTAAAACCAGTGCAAAACTGTGTAAACCCGTGCAAAACCAGCGCAAAACCAGCGCAAAACTGTGTAAACCCGTGCAAAACCAGCGCAAAACCAGTGCAAAACCGTGTAAACCCGTGCAAAACCAGCGCAAAACCGTGTAAAACAGCACAAACCTGTGCAAAACCAGCACAAACCCGTGCAAAACCAGCACAAAAACGTGCAAAACCAGCACAAAAACATGCAAAACCAGCACGGTGGCATCCCCAAAACTCCAGATCCCGGCTGCAGCTGAAGGTGCTGCGGGAAAGGGAGGCCGGCGTTAAAACGCAAGGAATTAAATGCTTGGGAGCGTGTGGTGCCCAAGCAATTGCAAAGCATTTTTTCTTCAGAAATACCCGGTTCTGCAGAGCCCGGGCCGCAGGTCCCAGGATTACTCACGACACACGAAATTAAGCGCGAAGGAAAAATCTTTGCGTGCCTGGGGAGGAGGCGCAGGCCGCCCTGCCAGGCTGGGCGTGGGGCTTAGGGGGTGACTAAGTCACCAGATGAGTAAATCGTCACCTCGGTCTCCTTCCGCCCCCGGTGCTGCTAAACCCGTCCCGGCTTCAGACTAAAACGGGCGAAACTCGGGTTGTTGGGGGATTTCCTTCTCGGGGTGACGGGGCTCAGGCACCAGACGGGGTCCTGCCGGATGTGATGGGTGTAAGCCGGGCCTAAGCGAACACCTGTGATTAAATTAAGCACAGATTAAGCTGTTTGCAAGACTAGAACCTCCACTGTGACCCAGCAGTCGGGGTTCCTGGGCTGGGCCTTTTTCCTTCAATGCTTTCCTTGGCTTAATTTCTCCTAACGAGCTGCAAAATAACACAAATAAATAATCAGAGGGATCGCAGCTGAAAGCAGGACCCCGCTGCCCAGGGGGGAGAGCCCGAGGAATCTTTAGCTTAAACAGAACAAAGGGCGAGGGGAAACAAAGATTTCTCCCTGCTTCGTGAGAGCAGGACCTTGCTTAAGCCCGGTCCCTCCTATCTCTGCCAGGGTTCTTGTTGATTTTCTTCAGCGGAGGGTGAGGATTGCCTCGCGTCGAGGCTTCGGGCGGTTTAACCTGCTCGCTCAGTGCTTCTCGGGGACGCGGCGATTTTATTTTTCAACCAACACAGCTATTTATGAAAGAGTAAATAACAAATAATAAAATCTGCTGGGGAGATTCCCCCGCGCATCCCGAGGATTTTGGCCCAAGGGGTGCTTTGCTGGGGAAGTGACAGCACCGGGCGCCTGATCCACAAAAAATTCCCCGTTTCCGTCATACCAGGGCCGTTCTCCATTTTGGTTTCCATTAGATTTGGAAGGTGGGCAGGCAGAGTTGTAAAGGAAAGGGGACTTAAACACCCTGGCGACACCCTTGGGGGTTCCGTCCCCCCTCGACGAGGGGTTTGCTCTACAAAGTTACCACGCAGGTGTCACGGCCAAGACAACGGCTCGCCATTTCTGGCGGACGGGGAACCTACGGTGCCAGGGAAAGGGGTTTCTGCGCTGCCACAGACACGACCTTCTGTGAGCCAAACCAGCCCTGCGGCCGCAGGAACCTCCTCCTCCTCCTCCTCTTCCTCCTCCTCGTGCCGGTATGGCTCAGCTTTGCTCTTATGGGTCTTGGCTGTGTAAAGAGTGGGGAAAAAAAAATGTACCTGTAAGCATCCCAGCTAGCAAAAAGCGCGTTCCCCCTTTCCTCTTGCTCCCAGAGGCCTCAATGCCTGTTTTTAATACGGTATTTTTAATCCTCATCAGTCCTTTGGAACAGGGCTGAGACAGGGCACGTTTAGGTGGGTTTCGCACCGTTCGAAACAATAAAGGGCTCGCCATCACAGAACCACACTTCTCATTTAGCTTGATTTTGGTTTAATTACTTGTGCTAGCGCTTGGCAAATTATTTCCTCGGGCTTTGCATGGGGGATGCCAGTTCAGACCCCGGCTCTCTTTCTTATGAAGGCTGGAATGAAGCAGAAGGAGTGAGTGGAGTCAAACCTAAAACCAGACAAGAGCTAAAGGAATAAACCCGCTGCCGGGGAGCCCTGGCCAGGGCCCCTGCTGCCATAGAAGATAACTCCATCTCCACCCCTCTCCAAAGAGCCTTCCAACCCAGCCTCGCAGCGCTAAGCACAGCCCCTGCCTTAAAATTAATCAGGCAGGGATGAGGTTTAGCTTGGGGAAGGGAGCAAGGCCGGCTGGCGGAGCCCTGCCCGCCCCCCGTCGCGCTGTCCCCCTGCAGTGACACAGCAGCCCGGCCCCGGGCACGCCGGGAGCTGTAGTCCCCCGCTCCGCCTCCCGGGTTGGCG